CTCTCTTGTCAAAAGCCTGAGTAGTGACTCCAACAGACACTGTGACTGATGTTTCTCAAAGGTCATCTTGCCTGACTGATCTGAGGACAGTTGGAATTTGTACACAGGTGGCAAACAAGATATTATTGTTCCATGTATACAATATTTTTTTAATGTTCAATTTTCATTGCAGCAATCAGGGTTAAATCATTTGCATAAAATTAAACAACATTTTTATAATGAATGTAAACATTTACCTTAATGTTACTTAAAATAATTTAAAAGAAAAAAAAATGTGAACTTAAACCTTCTTATGCTTCTCTTACACTTACATTGAATTTCTATATTCCCAATTCTTTAAGAGAACTATATCAAGAAAAATCTTTTTTTCAAAAAAAATTACCTTTTTCCATTTGTTAAGAATATTTATTTATTTATTTATTTTAAACGAAAAGCAAACTTCTTTATTGTACCAGTACAGAATATAACGCAGCTTGGCAGGATGCATACAGCTCGGCGCAGGGGGAAGTATTTAAAATCATTTGGCAGGTTGAAGCCTTTCTGCACTGTAGACTTTCCACACTCTGGAAAAGAAGCAAACAAACAAACAACCCCCCCCCTCAAAACCCTGAAAAAAACAAAACAAAACAAAACAAAACCACCCAGGAGATGCATGAGTCCAATGGGAATGCAATGGTGATGCCGTCATCCTATATCTTGCGACAGCACAGGCCACATGGTTACAGCAGGGGAGGAGCAGCTCAGGAGACAGAAGATTATTTTCATACTTGCTAAAACAGCATAAATTTATTTAAAAAAAAAATCCCAAACCAGGATAAGTAAAGAAAGGAAAAACAGTTTCGTCTCCAGGGCCCGGGACGTGGCGGCAGGCGCCGGCGGGGGGCGGTGCGCGCGCGGCCCTCCCCCAGACCCCCTCCTTTCGCCACGCGCCCCTCCTCCCCTCCCCTTCCCCTTCCCGCGCGGCGTCCCACGGCCTGCGAGCCGCTGAAGCGCTGCCGTCCGCCTGGACTACTCTGCGCACCTTGGGGTGTACGCCTACCTGCCAGGCACGACTTCCCGCTGCCTCCCCAGCCGCGCGGCGCCTCCTCCAGGACCCAGCACTCCTTGCCAACCCTGCGGCCGCTGCTGTCCCCGCCGGGACTGAGAGGGAAAATGATCCCTGAGGATTTAGAGAGGCAGATCAGTCTGGCTGAAGCTGAGGGTGCTATGCCGTTCCTGGTCAGTGCCACATCTGGCACCACTGTGTTGGGAGCCTTTGACCCCCTGGATGCAATGGCCGATGTGTGCCAGCATCACGGACTGTGGTTACCCGCGGATGGCTGACTCCGTGGCCTGGAACCCCCACAAGCTCCTCGCTGCAGGACTGCAGTGCTCTGCTCTTCTTCTCCAGGATACCTGGAACCTGCTCAAGCGCTGCCATGGATTCCAGGCCAGCTACCTCTTCCCGCAGGACAAGTTCTACGATGTGGCTCTGGACACGGGTAACAAGGTAGTGCAGTGTGGCCGCCTTGTAGACTGTCTGAAGCTGTGGCTCATGTGGAAAGCACAGGGTGGGCAAGGGCTGGAGCAGCGTATCCACCAGGCCTTTGCTCTTGCCCGGTAGGCAAGGAGGGTCCCAGGTCCCCTCCCAGGGTCTACCCTTCCTCCATTTCTGCCCTCAGGATTACTTTCCTCCCCTGTCTCTGTGGTTCTCTTCAGTTTATATGGCTGTCTTCCCCTCTCCACCTGCAATTTGTCACCCTCTGTTCCCAGGTACCTGGTGGAGGAAATAAAGAAGAGGGAAGGGTTTGAGTTGGTCATGGAGGTATGATCCCATGTTCTTTTGCATCCATCTATCCCAGCCTATCCCACGCAGCAAGCTCACATGGAGGAAGAATGACAGTGAAAGGGAAAATGGTCCTCCTTTCTCAGCTCATACCTTCCCCTTCCTTATTCCCCTCAGCCTGAGTTTGTCAACGTGTGCTTCTGGTTAGTGCCTTCCAGCTTGCGGGGAAGCAGGCCAGTCCACATTACAGCCAAAGGCTGTCTCAGGTAGGCTTTTTCTGGCTCTGGGTAGCCCTGCTAAGGGAACTGATGCAGCTGGTGCACTTCTGCCCCTGCTGGCCATTCCTGATATGGGCTGTCCCCCTATTGGTCTCTTGCTCCTGAGGGGCTAGGTAACTGGAAGATAACACAAGCTTGGCCTTTTTGTGGGGGGGCTGGGGGAGAAGGGGATAGGAATAAGATATGTTTGGGGGAAATAAGATGACAGAAAGGAGCATCACAGGAGAACCCAAAAAAGTTAGTGTGCAGCACACAGACCCCTGTGCTAGGGTCTGTGCTGGGAACTCAGGCCCAGGTCAGAGATATAAGGTAGAAATAACAGGAAGAGTCTTTTCAATGATGCTGGGGACAGAGAAACACAGAAAGGCCAATTTGATTTGCCTTCTAGAGGCAAGGAAGTATGTTCTGTCTGGTCCCTAAGAATGGGTTAGTACTAGGTGCTACAGATGATCTGAAAGGACAAGAATCTTCTTGCCCTCATGAAGTTGTTATTGTGGAAAGCAAGAGTTACTGTTTGAAGCCAATATTTCAAGGTGGTTTTGTAAATTACATGCTAGATCGCATGGCACAGATCAGATATTACAGGATCCAGGAGTGGTGGCACACACTTATAATTGGTGTCTCTGGAGGCTGAAGCAGGAGGATCACAAGTTTGAGGCCCGCCTCAGCAACTTAGCAAGACTCTGTCTCAAATTAAAAAATAAAAAGTACAAAAGGACTAGGATGTAGCTCAGTGGTAAAGTACCCTTGGGTAATCCCTGGGAAATAAAAAAGGAACCAGGAAAGGGGAGAAGAAGACATTCAGGATGACTAAAGTTTGAAGGTAGACTGAAGCAGTGTTGAAAATCAGAAAAGTCAGGATTTAGCATAAGAGATTGTCTTACAGCTATCTTGTAGGTAGGAGAAATGAGGAATAAAGCAGAAGGTAGAGAAGGCCAACCAAGTTGGATGTGGTGGAAAAAGTAATGTGGGGCCAAGGTGAGGGTCTAAGCAGTGAAGGTAATTCCAGAAGATGGCTGGGTGGGAGGGAAAAACAGCTCTGAGAGCCGGGTAGTCCAGGTAGCTGGCCCATCTTCTCACCTGACCCCACGCTGCAGCTGGACTCTACCGCTCCCATAGGTAGCCCCTGTGCTCAAGGAGCGCATGGTAAAGGAAGGCTCCATGATGATCGGCTACCAGCCCCGTGGGACCCATGGCAACTTCTTCCGAATGGTGGTGGCTAACCCCACTCTGACCCTGCTGATATAGACTTCCTCTTCAACGAGCTGGAGTGGGTAGGCCAGGACCGGTGAGCCTTCTTCCTCTAGAGGCCTCAGTGCCACCCCTCACCCCACTGAGTCTCTCTGCCTTGTCTCCTGCGTTCTCAAAATAGCCTCTCTAGGAAACAAAGTAGGCTTAAGCTATTAGGAGAATGTTTAAATAACTATATCCATAGGATGCAAGGTTATTCTTTCATTAAAATTATATTTACAAAGAGTTTTTATTAATTGAGAAAAATAATATAATGTTATGTTGAAAAAGCTGGATATAGGACTATGTAGTAATGAGCAATGTTCAGAAATACATAGGAAAAGGCTGATGAATGAACTATGCCAGAGTTTGTTTTCCCTGAGATAATAGGCAATTTTAAAATTGACCCCTTTATACTTTTGTGCCTTCTCCTTTTACTATGTAATGAATATGCATTATGTAATAGGAACATAATAAAATTAAAATTTCAAGTATATTAAAAAAAAGAAAGGAAAAACAAATCTATACAGCATTTACAACAAATAAATCTCTAGCCGTCTGGGGGGTAAAATATGCATCTATGTATAGACTATGTGCAGATTAGAAAGCTATAAATATGGTTTAGAAGAGTCCTTTGATTAGAGTACAATGCTAATTACAACCCAAGATATAAGCTCCACACCTTTGTGGGCTAATTTCCCATAGAGGAAAATCTCATTTTTCCATATCTATAAAATGCACCTTTATCCCTATGAACCTCTTCACAAATGTGCTGTTGGTTATAAGGGGGATCATGGAACATTCCATTTTTTGAAAAGCAACTCAAAGCCTGTGCCTCACACTCAAGGACTCAGCACTGTCTTCTCCACACATGAGGAACAGCACAGTCCTTCTTAATGTTCTGAGTGACAAAGGGAGCACAAAATTCCATCACTGGAGCAGGCAGCATGTGCCATCACCCTCTAGAGTGACTTTCCTCTACTTTGAGCTCAACTTTCACTCAGCTTTAACTTAGTTGTTTTAAACTTTCCCAATATAATACAGCAATTAGAAGAAACTTAAAGGAGTGGCAGAAAACCAGAGTGCTAGCACTGTTTTACCTGTTGGTGTCACCTGTAAGCCTCAAACCCTACTGAACTGTTATGTAGGGTTTAAAGCCCAAGATGTAAAGAAGAAGGAAAAAAAAAAAAAAACACAAACGGATGAAATGGAAATTGTCATTAGTCATGCCCATGGAAGAATCCCTAGGGTTCCCACCAGGTGACCAAGTTTCAAATGGACATGACATGTAATATGTACATCTCCTTCCCAGAGAGGGCATGTTAGTGAACATGGGGAGCTATACACATAGAATCTATGCTTGTGTCCAGGCTGCCCTGCACACTTCAAAAATGTACAACTCAGTTGCAAATGTTCCATCAGGTTGTCTGGTGCAGAAAGCACAAAGCAGGCCACAGAGCAGGCTTTTATGTGGCTAGGGAACAGCCCCAGCAAAGCCCCTCTCAAGCTGCAGCTCTTCATAAGTCGGCACAGCCCTGCCTATGGGACACAGTGCACAGTTACCAAAAGGTTTTTTTTTTTTTTTTGCTTTAAATACCAAAACTACAAAAATCAGTTTATAAACTGTTTTTCCAAAACAACCACCAAAACAAAACAACCCCCCCCCGCCCCCTGAATCAAAGCAAAACTAAATACTGTCAAAACTGTTAATCTCCCTTCCCCTAAAATGAAAGCCATCCACATTCAACCATGTGACTCGGAAGAGAGAGGGGGCCTGCTCTATTTGGTGACCACATGGCTGGAAGGTTCCCAAGGGTAGCAATGGTTTATGATTTGAGAACCATGGAGTGGGTAACAGCTGTCAGGACTCATTCTCCCCTTTTTCTAAACCAAGGGGAAGTATTTCAGATTGAGCTAGAAGAACTCTCCAAATTTCAACACATATTTTTAACCTTTAATTGGTCCGAGCCTCCCCAACTCAGTCTACCTACTTTTATATGAGCTTTTGATTTCTTTAATAAATTGTGCAAACCAGAGCCCTTCTATGTAAAGGCATTTAGTAGTCCATGATCAACGCAGATTGTCACACACTCGGTCCCATTTTGAGGGTACTAACCTGAACAAGGTATTGCTTTGCATATATTGTCCATGGTAGTGAGGAGGCTCCATTCCCACATCCTCTTCCCAGAAACCTCATCAGAATCAGAGTCGAGGCACCAACCTTTTGGTGGTTTTTCTGCCCCTGCCTGTTCCCACTCCCCAGCCAAGGTATATGCCTTTCAGGGTAAAAATCCAGAGATGGCTTGGGCTCTCCGGAAAGTATTCAAATGGCAAGCTTTAGAACAGCCAAGAACACAAACAAAACCACTGCCCTCATCTGCCTGAACGGGAACTGCTAGCTCTAGGGTTTGGCTGCTCAGCCACTCAGAAACTTGGTAAGCGAAGCCTTCAGCATAGGGGAGGCTGCTGCAGCGATCCATGTCCAGGAGGTAAGCAGGGTTGTCTTCAAAGTGGGTCAGTGGCAGGGTGTCCTCCTCATTGAGGGGGCATTCAGACTCTGCCTTCAGGAATGGACGCTGATTGTCTGGGAAGGCCATGGACAAAAGGGCATCCGGGTCACAGACAAATTTGTTGACATATCTTTCCCCAGCGACCTTCTGCATGATGCCCTTTTCATAGTAGTAGTGTAGAGAATGGCTCAGCTTGTCATAGTTCATGGAAGGCCGGTTCTTCTGGATGCCCCAAAGCCGAGCAACCTCCTCTGGTTCTATCAGCTTAAACTCCATGCCTCGGCCTGTCCAGGCGATGAAGTGAGCATTGGCTGAGTCATCAAGAAGAGTGACCAGAAACTGCCACAGTTGAAGGGAGCCTCGCCTCTGATAAAGAGGGCCCTCCCGATACATGGTGGGCTCTTGCTTGACTTTGCCTTCCAGTCTCTCAGGGACAACGCAAGTGTCATCAAAATATAACCGGGGATCTTTTTCATATGAAAAACTTTCATGGCTGCTGGAGAAATATCCCCCTCTCATGTAGGATGACTGGCAGTTAGGCACTTCTGAATCAACGCAGTAATCCCGGGACTCCTGCTTGATTCCCATTGGTGACTGGAACCCATGTGCTGGGGGACCTGGCATTCTAGAGACCCCATGTTCATAGAGTGGGTCATGGTATTCTTGTTTGAATCCCTGAGGGGGTGGGGGAGCTGCAGGGACAATAGGTTCTGACATTTGTCGGTGGTAACTGGGGCGATTATCTCCAGGAACTCCCGACTGCGGAGGGAAGGGATGGCAGGGTTCAGACAGTTGTCTCTGAAATCTCCCATTGCAGGTGAGGAAAAGACCCTAATGAGGTTTCTGTCCATGACTGGCTGGCACCATTGTTCTGGGGCTGAGCAAAGGCAGAATTTCATGGCCAAAGCCCATGACAGAGGAAAGCTATTCTGTCCCATGGCAGCAGGACTGCAGAGAGACAGAGCAAGCTCTTGGGGACAAAATATAACCCATAAGGGCGTGCTCCCATGGACCACCTTCCTGCTGACTCACATCACCTGCTAGCAGTTACCACCCAGTACCTAGTCCTCTCAAATAACCCTCTCAAAGCTAGCAGGGTCTTTTAGGTCAACTGTGAGGTCACAGAACTCATAATCTAATCACTTCACTGTGAGCATTCCTGCATTGTCTCCCATGAGCTTTGGGGGACAACTCACACCAAAGCATAACACATTTTAATTGCCAAACAGCAAATAATTTTTGCTTAGTATATAAGTAGGTTGATCATCACCAAAAGATAGATGCTGTAATTCTGTCATCCTGTGGCCTTGTGAAACCACTTTCCAGGACTCCTATGGAAGTTCCATCAGATCCATCCAGCACACCAACACTCAATTATGTCCCATCTCAAGTTCCACTTCCAAAGCAGTAGCATCAGGTACCACCACTTACAATGCAGCAATTTTTTTCTATACCCACTGGAGTCTTTGAAGCACAGCTGCATTTTCAGATGATGCTTTGTTCAAAGCCCCACACTGCTTTTGTCTTAGAGATGGTGCTACATCTTCATATTTCACTCCACCTTCAATTAATGCTAGAGCAACCAGCACTGGAGCGCTCTCAAGGCCCACAATGCCACAGACAGCAATCAAACAGCCAGATCTGGTTGGAGAGTGGTACAACATCAGTAAAAGCCAATCAAGCACATGCATGCCTTCTTTCTCCACAAGAAGAGTGTCTAGAGTTGCTTCACATACTCTTACTCTTGGTATACCTCAAAACCTCTTAAATTCTTCTGCCAATTGACCTACATTTGCATTGGCTAGATCCTGTGTAGGAAGGAATCTTACTTCATACACATGACATTCATTGGAGAAAAGATAGCCTCTTTAGGGGCTGAGGCAGTGGCTCAATGGTAGAGCGCTCACTTAGCACATGCGAGGGCCTGGGTTCGATCCTCAGCATCACATAAAAATAAATAAAACAAAGGCATTGTGTCCAACTACAACTAAAATTTTTTTTTTTTTTAAAAAGATAGCCTCTTCAAGAAATGGGCCTGGGAAAACTGGAAATCCATATGTAGAAAAATGAAATTAAACCTTTATCTTTCACCCTGCTTCAAACTCAACTCAAGTGCACCAAAGACTGAGGCACTAGAACACAGACCCTGGATCTAACAGAAGAAAAAGTAGTCCCATGTTGGCTGAGGAACTGACTCCATTAACAAGACTCTGATGCAAAAGAAGTAAAATCAAGAATCAATAAATGGGATGGATTCAAACTAAACCTTTTCCTCAATAAAGGAAACAATCAGTAACATGAAGAGAGAGCCTAAATAATGGGAGAAAATCTTTACCACATGCACCTCAGATAGAGCATTAATCTCCAGAATATATAAAAAACTCAATACCAAAAAAAGAAAACCAACCCAAATAACAGAGTCAATAAATGGCTAAGGAACAGAACCCAGCAGTCCTGTTCTGTTTGGATTAGAAAGAGGAGAGCCAAGGGAAGGGAGGGGGCATGGGTGAAATAAGGGTAATAGAATGAATCAGACATTTTTACCCTATGTGCTTATATAATTACATGACCAGCGTGATTCTACATCATGTACAACCAACACTTCATGGAAGAAGAATACAATCAATCAACAACTATATGAAAAAATGTTTTAACATCTCTAGCAATTAGAAAAATGTATACCAAAATTAAAATTTCATCTTCCTTTAGTCAGAATGGCAATTATCAAGAATATTAGAAACAGTAAATGTTTGTGAGGATGTGGGAACAAGGTACACTCAGACATTGCTGGTGACACTGCAGATTGGTGAAACCATTATGGAAAGCAGTATGGAGATTCCTCAGAAAACTTGGAATGGAACCAACATTTGACCCAGCTATCCCACTGCTTAGAGGATAGGAAAGGTAGCAGAATACAACAGTTACTAATAGGGCATTATGTAAAAATGTGGATGTGTAACCGATGTGATTCTGCAATCTGTATTTGGGGTAAAATTGGGAGTTCATAACCAACTTGAATCTAATGTATGAAATATGATATGTCAAGAGCTTTATAATGTTTTGAACAACCAATAAAAAAAATTAAAAAAAAATAAATAAAATCAGCATACTACAGTGATGCAGCTACATCAATGTTTATAGCAGCTCAATTCACAAAAGCTAAACTATGGAACCAACCTTAGTGCCCTTCAATAGATTAATGGATAAAGAAAATGTGATATATTTACACAAAGGCATATAACTCAGCCACAGAAAAGAATGAAATTATGGCTTACTCTGAGAAATGGATGGAGCTGGAGAACATCACTCTAAACAAAATAAGCAAATCCTAAAGAATCAAAGGCCAAAGATTTCTCTGATATGCAGATGCTAATCCATAATAGGGGGGTACCTTGGATTAGACAGAGGGGAGTGAAGGGAGGGGAGAGGTTACGGGTATAGGAAGGATAATAGAATGAATCAAACATTATTACCTTATGTGCATATATGATTATAAGAGCAGTGTGATTCTACATCATGCACAACTTCTGAGGAATGAGAAGTTATATTCCATTTATGTAAGAACATTATTTTATATATGACTTTATAAAATCCTCCTTTTAATTTTAAGATGTCATCCATCTGTTTTCAAAAATGTTAATGGGAAAAGTGGACATGTATACTTTAGAATCAGAGAATATATGTGGTTTTTACACTTTTTATTTCTACTATTTTCTTTAGTATGGAGACATAAAACTTTACAATTCAGCGAGCAAATGACTTTTAAAAAGTATTCTGAAATTAATGTTTTTTGATATGATTGGGTAATCAATTAGTAGGCAGCAGATAATCCTAGATAAGTTTTATAGATTCTGCAAGAAGGAAGGGGATGAAGGAAAATCTTGATATCAAAGACACTGTGAGGAGCTGGCTTTAAAACGTGTCATGGTATGAGACATGCTCAATGATATAGCAATTGGAGATTTCTAGAGTAGCCACTTTGAAAATATTTGTGTGGCCAGCTTTTTCATCCCCCCCCACTTTAAAAAACTATTCATTTATAATCCTTTCTTGCATGACAACCTCTTTTTTATATTACCATGAAAAATATTCATGGATATTTACATGTGATAAAGACCCTACTTTGGTCATTTATTTTTCTGAACCTTAATTGATTAATCCATGAGATAAATTCAATAAATTGCTTCACAGGAAACAAATGAACTCTGGGATATTTATGCTGACCTCTATCTAGTTTTTATAGGAAATGTGATTATGATAGTAGAATTAGTTGGCAAAGGTTATATTTCAACAACTTGGACCACATATAAACACTCTTTTATCCATTGAAACACATTGTTTTTTCCTGCCTCCTTTGTATGACCAGTCCATATTATCAGGTATTATTAGGCACTCATTTAGATTCTGAGCAGTCTGATCTGAGAAATTAAGGCTTACAACTCAGGAGGCAGAGGCATGAGGATCACAGGTTTGAGGCCCACCTCAGCAACTTAGCATAGGAAAAATCTCTTCTAGGAGGCTGCAAACTTCCTTCTTAGTTTAAGCTGGGCTTGCAAGGGCATCATGTGGGGGGCTCCAAGGCTTCAAGATAAGACAATGATGTCTCTGGGCACAGAGATCATCATTTGGGAATAAAAGCAGATTCTGTGGTTGGTGGGTCTGTGGCTTCCACTTTGTAAAAACACAGAGTGTTTGAGGTGGAAGGAAGTAGTGTGGTCTGCTTGCTCCATTTATGGGGGGTGAAATGGATTTCAGAGACGCCAAATAATTTGCCCAAAGTCACAGCTCAACACAGCTCTTCTGACTCCTTTCTGTTGCACCATGCACTGCTGGGCAGCTTCACTGTCCATTGTGAGAAAGTTGTTGACCCAGTCCTCTCACATCCTTAGGTGTCAAACCCCATTTATCTTTGTCACTTCAGCACATGTACAGACAAGGGGAATTAGAGTTCATTGAAGCGGAAAAAGGCCTAAGATGTTCACTCCTGCAGTAAGTAGTCTGAACAGGGCACATGAATAAGCATCTTAATCTGATCTTGCATATAGCTCTATGCAATACACATTGCCTATCCTGAACTCAGTTTCTTCACCTGTCGTATGAGGACATTTACCACGATAATCCTTAAGCCTGATAAATGATTATGTATAGGAATTACTGACAGGTGTTTACAGAGCTTTGTCATCTGCATTGCACACATCTTGCCCTTTTTTTTCCAAAGCCTGTTTTAACCTTACTTTGACCTACTTATTTTGTTATTTAGTATGATTTTATATTTGCCAGGAAAATAAATCCACTGTATCATTTGTCCAAAACCTAAATGACAAGATGAATTTCTAACTGGGGTCCACATAGGCATTTGCACTCAGCTGTGTCTTGTGTTCCCCGCTGTCCATCAGGCTCCCGGTAAAAGCTTTGCCATTCTTCCCCTTCTCAAGCACAAAAATCTGCTGCATTCCCACAGAGCAATCAGAGTCTCCTTGTGCTTAAGAACAACCAGCTATAGCTGAACTGTGAACATCTGCATATATGACATGAAGCCATATGACATGACCCTGCTGTGATTGGATCTGCATTCATGTGGGGGCACAGGAGTCTCTTTCCCTATCTGGGTGAAATTCAGGCTCCTTTTCTATTCATGCTTCTATGTTTTAAGATAGGATTCAGGAAATCTTGCAGTATTTGGAAAATGCTTCTCTTTCACAAGTGATTGATTCCCTCCATAACCTGGAACTAAAAGATGAGCTACTTCCATTAAATTCATTACATGGGATAGAAATCTTCTTTATAACCACAATGATCATCATGGCTATGAAGGCCAAGTCTCATTTGTCATCAAGTCTATTTGATTGCCTTCTGGTCCAGGTCACCTCTTTTCTAAAGGAATAAAAGAGTCTTGCTCTATTCAGAGGTAAAGGGGGAAATGAGACTCTGCTCTGAAGATCAATCCCTGAAGCCAGGACTCATTCCTCTTTTCTGTCCATCACAGGACAGTGCACCTAGTCAATCCAAGGTCAGTCATTGACCTTGCTCTTGTTACCCAGACTCTCAGCAGCTTTGAACTTTTCTCATCTGTTTTCACCTTATAGGCCCAAGCAAGCATTCTGGGTTGACTCAAGAAACACATGTGGTCCAGCGTCCTTAGAAACCACATCTCTGACTGTGGTTTCTTTGGAGGCCCTTTCTTAATTCAAACTACCCTTGACATCCCACTTTTCTACAAATAGCCTTTCCATGGGTTATCACCTCTTTTAGGCTCAAACTTCAATAGTCAGCTCCCTCCTTACAGAAGAGAAGTTGGTTGTTGGGTAGAAGGTTATAGTTCCAGTAATCTAGATCCCAGGTATTTTCATGTCCCTCAGTATTTGTGGGGAATTTGTTCTAGGACTTCCCTAAGGATACCAAAATCTGAGGATGCACCAGCCCCTTGTATGTGATGGTGGGATATTTTCATAGAACCTATGCACATCTTCCTATAAAATGTAAATCATCTCTGGATCACTCAGAATACATGATACAGTGTAAATGCCATGTAAATACTTGTTATACTATATTGTTTTGGGACATGTGAAATACAGATGCAGTTTTATTTTTAAGAGTTTCAATCCATGATTGACTCTGTGGATGTCGAACCCACAGATAGAGGGCCGACCCCAGTTCTCTCCATATCAGTATACTTGAAGTCCCTTCCATAGGCTCTCTGCCTGCCTCCAGCAGAGCCACAGACAATGGAGCCCTCAGGTATACTCAGTGCTTCTTGAAATCCTATGCTTGCTTAGGTTATGATGCTATGTGTAGAAAGTTGTGCCTACAGCTTCACAGTGTTTAAGTAAGTCAGTAAGAAGCTTATTCTCCTGTGCTTGTTAACTTGCTGCCCTGTTAAAACTCAAAACACTCCCTGGGAGTAGTTCCTTCATGTCCAATTGTTTCCTGATTTGCAACAATCTTTTCTACACCAGAGCCAATAATTTTAGAGCCATATATACCTTCCAGTCTAATATCAAAGCAATTTCTTTCAGCCTCTTTTTGTTCCCTGAGATGAAAAATCCTTTTCTGCTTGGATCTTTTATTATAAGGTATACTTATAATGTCTGACCAAAATGATTAGACATGTAGTTTCCAGGGTCAAATACAAACTTCCAGTCCCATGGAGGCTCAGAGCAATAGGTCTAGTCAGAGGATGTGGTGTTACAGAGCCCAAGTTACACAGGAGGTGGAAATAGGCAAAGATAGTAAAACCCAGAAAGGTCATGTTAAAGGTAGAAGTTAGGCAAGAAGCCAAATCACTACCCAGTAGCTTGACCAAACATGTCATCCATTAGAATTTATACAAAAGAAAACAAGTCTTGTAGTCAAAACAACACCGTGCACACAAAAACTGGCATTTGATTTTAACTCTGCCACTCACTGACCTATGTGATTTTAAGGTTTGTGAATCTCAGTCCAGATAATATCTATCTCTCTAAGGGGCTGTTAAAATTTAAAATGAGGATTCTTTGGAAAACACTTTATAAAATCCTAAGTGCAATGGAATTGATGGCTATTCTGTGATGTGCTCTTAAACATTTTTCTAGAATCGCATAGAATTCACTCTCAGTCAAGGCAAGTGAGCATGGCATGTTTTCCCAGATGCTCAGGAAGCTTGCACATTTTTTAGTTCTGTTAAAGTGTGCCACAGTCTGGCTGGGCACAAATGCCGCAGTCTGGCTGGGCACAAAATCACGAGCCACCACACAGCTTGTAGATTCAAACAGCAACTCTTTATTCCCGAACTCACACCAGCCGTCTACAATCACGTTCTGGGGAAATCCACGTTCTCTTCCCAAATCCACGTTCTCTGCCCAAATTCACCTCCTCTGGGCTTCTATCTCCAAAATATATTGTCTAAATCCCGTGAGAACTCAAGGGGAACTCAGGCAGCAGGATACGCCCTATTCCCAGCAGGAATAATCTTAAACCTTAAACCTGGAACCTAAACTGGGAACGCCCTAAACACGATTATCTTAAAACCCGGAACACCCTAATCTGCCTTGGTCCTTGAGCAAGGTCATCTACATTCAATGTCACTGCAACATGTCAGCAACATGGGGTACGCTGGCAAGGAAATTGTCATACCTACTTGGCTAATGGCTCCCAGCAAAAGTGTAAACTAAGCAAGTCAAGACATAAAGGAGCAGCAAAGGTTACAGAACAGAGACATGAGGCCAAGCACGTCTACCTGTGGGAGTGCTCAAAGGAGAAAGATCTGATGGCCAGGCATACTGGTTGAGCAGACAGCTCTGGTTAGAGCTCTGCAAATTCATTTCCTGGGCCTATGGTGACCTGACTGTATCTATTTGATAGAATTAAGAACATTTAGAAGTACACTGAGTTCCAAGGCTCAGAGAAACAGACAAGTTACTTCATTTTGAAAAATTATAAATACAGCTATGGGGGAAAATAACCAGATCATGTGATGGCATCTACTGATTTTGAGGTACTTTTTGAGCAATTGTAAAGTAAATAGGGAAACAATTTTTATGGTTATTTTTCTCCCTCTGGGTTTTTCCACAAAGTTATATAAATCAAATAGTAACTACTTAACTACTTAGAAAAATCCACTATTTCTCTCTCTCTCTCTCTCCATGTATTATATGTATACACACATATATATTCATATATGTATATATGTGCATATATATGCATATATGCGTATGTGCATATGTGTACATATATATATATATATATATATATATATATATAATATACACACATACATACACACACACACTGGAAACATGCATATATTTTTTTTCCTTTGACCCCATAATATGAATTGCATTTTGGGGAGACTCTGTTCCCCATTCTCTTTCTCTCATGTTCATCTCCTCCACAGTTTCTGTGTCTCACTTTGAACCCCTTTGGGGTTTGGCACTACTTCTGTAGAATTATATGTCTGACGTTGTTTCCCAGCATACCCATAGATGACAAAATCTTTTGACTTTGAAAGGGATGCACATTTCCTCTTAACCCAGCAAGTGTTTGTCTTCTTTTCTTGTCACTCATCCCAGGTCTCTTTCCTACCCAGGAAACCAGTTCCAGCACAGAGGCAGTTCAGCTCTTAATAAGAAGTTGAGCAGAAGTTATAATAACTCATTGCCTCGCCTGCTTGGAAAACATGATGATGCTCCTTAGTTGTAAGAAATCATTTTAACAACACTGACTGGTGGCAGTTCATTCATGGAGGCTATGTGACACCTGCTATGAATAGCACATGATGCATGTAGTAAACGGTTCTTCTGTGTGGCATTTATTTATTTGTAATTTATATCCTGCCTGCTTGCACAAAAGGATCTGAGCTGGCTAACAATAGAAGACATATACAATAAGGTTGTAATGTATGTAGAAATTGAAGACCAAAAATCATATGGAAAGGTGAAAGGGGAAGAGTTATGTTTGCAGTTTGTCCCTCCTTATCAAGGCAATGAAAGCAGATTATGTTGTAGCCTCCCTCCTCTAGGCTCACTGAGGTGTGCTCAAGAGGAGATGCACAATTCATCCCTCACAGAAATCAAATAAGGAAAATGATGGTGGAAACAGAGGAGGAAACAATATTTAAAAAGAAGAAATCTTGGAAGATCTTTTTTTTGTAGAAGGGAGGTATAGAAGGAAGGTCACAGAATAAGCAAAATCATAGAGTGATCACATTTTCCTAATCATTTAGAGTTCTGATTACCTATTGCCCAATTCTATAACACACTTGTCTGGGATTATGCAGGAGCTATTGATTTGTTCTACTCTCATTTGTGTAAATCAATTTCATAGAGAGGAAGAAAATAAAAAAACAAACAGAGTCTAGCAGTGGGTTTGATAC